AAATACAGGCATAACCTTAAATAGAATTAAAATTGCAACAAATATACTAAAAATTAATATACCTGAAAATAACATCGTAACTATAACCATAATAAAATTAATAAAATTTTGCAAATTTTTTTTTTTTTTTTTTATATTATATCCTTTTATATATGTAAAATTATTTAATGTTTTGAACTTAAAAGACTTAAACATTACCTATTGCTTTAATATTTTATATTATGTAAAACACTATTATCAAAAATCTTGGTATGTTTAAATCAAATAAATCAATATATATAAACATAACAAAAATAACTTTCCACCCAAACACATAACATTTGTTAAAAATATCGTATATTATTTGATAATCATTTTATTTATTACTATTTAATTTTTAAATTAAACTTTATAACTAAAACATCAAATAGTTCTAAAATTTTAATGAATTTTTCAAATTTTATTTATTTTAATTATTCTTTATATTGATAATAATATTAAAAAAAAAGTTATATAAATAAAATATAATTACTTTTCAAACTTAGTTATGTTATACTATAATCGATGCTTAATTCTATAAATATTTTTTTTTTTTTTTTTTTTTTTTTTGCTATGTATGATATAAAATAACAATAAATAATTTACATAAATAACATAATTGACATATATTTCGTATAACATCTTCAATATTGCCATATTTATTCATAATAATACATAAAAATAATGTAAAAAATCACAACATATATTTTTTTATAATAAAAAAAAAAAAAAAAAAAAAAAAAAAAATCAATTTAATATAAATAAAATTAAATGCATCTGCCGGGAATCGAACCCGGGTCACTTCGATGGCAACGAAGTATTCTACCACTAGACCACAGATGCTTACATATATACAAATGGTAATATTACATATATTATCATTTGTATATATAATTTTTGATATATGTATATTAAATGTCATAATCGTTTATAAATTTTTTTTTTTTTTAAATTTAATTTTTTTTTTTTTTTACGTACATTATACTTATTTACATTGATTATAATGTTTACTAATTATTAATAAAAAATATCTTATAAATGGTTTCATATTCTATAAATTCAATACCAAAAAAATAAAATATGATAAAATAATATTTATTACTCAATTTATAATTTTTTTAAATCATTACATGTAAATACAAATCCTTCAAATACATTTACATATTGTTTTTTAAAATATTATAAGCTGCTTTTTTTTGACTTTTGCAAGTAAATGTGTTATTGTTACTTATAAATGTACTTCAATAAATTGCTGTACATATAAATAATTAAATATATAATAGCGAATATGTACATAACAAAAATATGTACATAGTAAATATATACAAAGCAAATATGTACATAACAAATATGTACATTGTTACGAATTTTATTACTGGTAAAAAAAAAATAAATTACTTACAGGGGCGTGTAGCTCAGCGGTAGAGCAGCTGACTGCAGATCAGCGGGTCCATGGTTCAAATCCGTGCGCGCCCTTTATTTATGTTCAATTTTATTTATCTTAAAATAAATTAAAATTTTTTGTAAATAAAACATATTATAAAAAAATGTTATAAAGTATGTTATAAGTGTATACTATTTTTTATTTTTTTTTTTTTTAATAATATATATTTATTATGTATGACTTTTCTAATGTTTCATAATGATATACATAATATAATAATTAAATTTAAATGCAATACATATATGTGTGTTTTTTTTGTTTTTTTTTTTAGTCTGAGAAATTTACAGCACATAAATTAAACAGTTAAATATATTTTTTTAATTTATTTCTTTTACTAAAATAAATAATGTGTTTTGATATGTTTTAAAAAATACATTAAAAAAATTTATAGATGTTTTGCTGTTAATTATGCAAATTGTAAAAACATTTAAACAATATAAATGTATATCGAAATACTATGTAAAAACATCGCGTCACCTGCTAAAAACATAATGTCATCTTAACATACAAATTGTATATATATTTTAATATATAAGTGACAAAAGCACATTTAATGTATTTATGTATATTGTTAATTAATGTGACATATCAATATAATAATTAATATTTACAGCTCATTTTAATTTCTTTATAATAAATTGTTGTTGGTACTGCTATAATACTCAATTATTATAATAACACGAAAATAGCCATTATTTTTACTTATATAAGTTTTTATTTAAAAAAAAAAAAAAAATTACTTCAGTTTATTGCATTTTACCAATTCAACACAAAATAATATATAAATGCGCTCATATTATTACATGTATATTTTATCATAAAACAAAAATGATTAATATTTTGAATGACCATTAAATTGTAAAGAAGTGCATAAAAATAGTAATTTATGTTATACGTGAAAACGTAAATTTTGGCTTTTAATAAAAAATAAAATTTATCTTACATATATACATATACATATATATATACATATACACATGCCAATTTAGTTTTTAAGTAGTTTAAAAGCAATTTTTAATTGAATATATTAAATGCATGTATGTTGTATAAAAAAAAAAAAAAAAAAAATTTAATTTTATTTATGTACTATTAAAAAAAAATTTAGATAATAATTATGATAAAATAAAAAAATAAAATACATAAAATAACAATACATATGTATATAATACACCAGATGGGACTCGAACCCACAACCGTTGCCTTAGGAAGGCACTGCGCTATCCATTACGCCACTGGTGTTTTTAAACAAGTTTGTTTAATCACAGTGAATTGTTACTATTAACAAAAAAAAAACAAGCTGAAAAAATTGCATTTTAAATACAATAAAAAATAAATTTTATAATGACGAAATAAAAAAAAAGTATTTAAATGTAAATATTGTACTTAATCGTACTTAAATAATTTTTTTTTTTTAATTAATTTTTTTTTTTTTTTTTTTTTTTTTTTAGTATAATATTTATTGAATTTTATTATGTATACATGAAAATAACAAATATGCTATTTTTTATAAAATTATATAACTCATTAATTTTTTTATATATATATACACGCATTTTTGAACATATATGTACTCGTATTTTAAATAACATTTTTAACATTTGAAGTAATTCAAATTGAGCAAATTCCATGACTGCAAATTATTAAATAATATATATATATATATATATATATTAGTCATTCATAAAAATAGTATTTTACTATATTTTTTTTTTTTTTTTTTTTTTTTGAATATAATTGTTTTGCTACATTTTTATTATTGAATAATGGCGATCTGAAAATGACAATGTTAACATTTCCAGAGTACCTTAAAAAAATATATGATGTAGCTAACATTGCGAAAATAAATATCCAGTATTTAAAAGTTCATATTTTGCAGTTGTCATATAAAAATAAAAGAAAGATAAGAATTCAAAATAATTATTATTGTAAAATATACAAATACAAAGAAAAATTTAAAAAAATAATAAATTAAAAAAGTAAATTCAATTATATACACATATTTACGTATAAACTAATAAAATTTAACAAGTTAAATAAAAGAAATACTAATGTACATTATATAGTTTAAAATAAATTTTATAACTTTAATTATGGGCCTATGGCGCAACGGTAGCGCGTCTGACTCCAGATCAGAAGGCTGGGGGTTCGAATCCCTCTGGGCTCAATTTGATTATTTCATAAAAAATACTATACCCTTATGGTTAAAAAAACTGATTTTTCAACACATATAAAAATTATTAGTTAATATTTATATATAAAAAATATTTATAATATAAATTTTAATTCATCTTAGTTTTAACATGTACATTTTTATAATAAAATTATTTAATTATATATACTCATCATATATTTTTAACAGTTTAGTAATTATTATAAAAATAGTGTTCCCTTTATATATATATATATATATATATATATTTTTTTTTTTTTTTATTTAAATATTTTCGTAATAAAAGTCACTGTTTACATTTTGATAGCCTTTTTATTTATGTAAATAACAAATAAAATATATGTTGAAATGTATAAAAATTTTTTTTCTTGATTTTTAAAAAAAATAAATTATCTTTTCAATATTTGTTATTAAAGTATATGATGGATATATACATGTGCGTAATTTGTTGTAAAAACAATAAAACTCTTAATGGCTAACCGAACTTTACAAACATTAATATGTAAAAAATTTGAAATAATAATAATTTAATTATAACATTATAAATGAAAGTAATAACATAAATGCATAGTTTCGCATCTTCAGTAAGCATAATGACGTAATTCTATGTTTAAATATGTGCATATTGCATGTATAATATTTATTTACTGCTTTTAACAACATTACTTTTTCAAGTTATCGAAAAATATACTTCTCTATAAAAATTTATTGCATATTTTTTAATGCCCACTATAGATCCATTGTAAAAAAAAAAGTTATATAAATATACACGCACATATGCATATTTTTATATAGATATATAAAAATATGTAATTAATCGATATGTAATTATTTATATTTAAAAATTTTAATACAATTATATAATTTTTTTTTTAAATTTTTTTTTTTATAATAAATATAGTAAATATAAAATATAATAAAAAAAAATTATTGTACTAAAATAATATAGCTAGCAAATTATAAATATATATATAAATATATATATAAATATATATATAATATAAAAAAAAAAAAAAATTATAAAAATTATAGGCCGGGCAGGAGTCGAACCCACGACCTCCCGATCCGTAGTCGGGCATTCTATCCAACTGAACTACCGGCCCATAAGTAAAAAATATTTTAAAGTTGGTACATGACATTCTGTTAAACTTTTATAATTAAAAAAAATATTATACATTATTATTATATATATTGGATTAGCATAAAACATGGAAGAAAAATAAAAAGAATCAAAAAAAAAAAATTAAGTTTATTATATTATAAAAAGCTAACTGTAAAATAATTTAATGTAATAAATTTTAATTAATTATATGCAACATTATTAAAATAAATAAGCACAAACCGTAATTTTGTGGTGGTATAGTGTTTATTACATATTATAATTTATTTATATTGTATAATAGAATAATTTAATTAAAAAAAAAAAAAAACCCTAACAATTTTTATTCATATAAAACTATCTTCATGATTATTTACAGTAATCATTTAATAAAGAAACATTTATACAATTGGAATAAATTAGTTAAATTATTAGTAAAAAGGTATTGTTTTCTTAACATGCTTATATATATATATAACCGTATCATTTACTAAAATAACATTAAGTAAAATAAAGTTGTTATAAATTATTTATATGGTTTAAAAATTTTCAGCAACAAATGTATATGTCTATAATGTTTTTTAAAATTTTAAACAAATACATGTGTATATAATAAATGTATATTTTAACGTAACTAGCACCATATGAAATGATTCAACAATTTAAAAAAAATAAAAATAAATAAAGATTACTAAAAACAACAACAAAAATATAACAAACTCAAGTAGCAATTATAAGCGTAAAAATTTGTTAAATGAATAATGAATTTGCCTTTATTAATAATTTTTAAGTTAATACCAAACATTTTAGTAGTATATTTTAGTAGTATATTTTAGTAGTATATTTTTGTAGTATATTTTAGTAGTATATTTTAGTAGTATATTTTAGTAGTATAACAAGTAAAAATACAATTAATGTATATATATATATATATATATATATATATATAAGTTGATAAAAACCACACATAGTTTTAATCAATTATAAATTATATATACTATTTTAAGAAACTCGAAATGTTATATAATTAATGAAAAAATTAAATTATTCCTGTGAAAAAAAAAAAAAAATTATTGAAATTAAATATACAGAAATTATAAAAATATATGTATCATAAAACATGACATATTGAAATTTTTATTTTTATTTCCATTTTTTAAAACATAAATTATTATATTTTTTTTTTATTTAATTTGCTTCGCTTATACAATGAACATTTGGATGTATATTTTTATATATTTTTAAAACACTATATTATACAAATAGTAAAAATAATAAAAAAAAAAAAAAAAAAACATGAATTGAGTTAAACGAACGTAACGAGTGAAACAAATAAAGCAAAAAATTAAGTAAAACAAATGTATTAATATAAAAAAAATAAAATAAAAAAATAAAACAAAAATAAAGCAAAAATATAACAAAAATATAGTAAAAATATGACAAAAATATAGTAAAAATATAGCAAAAATAAAGCAAACATAAAGCAAACATAAAGCAAACATAAAGCAAATGAATTCATATAAAAGGTAAAACCACTTCTTTCTTTGGTACTATAAGAAATAATCTTTATTTATGAAAAGGCTGCTTATAAATGAGCGTTTTTAAAAAATTTAGAAGATATTTTTAAATTTATTTTTATTTTTTTTATACTTTTTTTTTGTTATTTAGAAAATAGAATAAACAATATATGTATAACCATACTATAACAACTTAAATTTTTTTTACAAAATGTATCAAATTTTTAGGCTAGATACCTTATTTTAAATAAAAAAAGCTTTGATTTGATTTTTCTTTATTTTTTAAATTATATAAAAATCTATAAAAAAATACTAGTAAAAAAGTATTAGAATTAAGCAAAAAATATAAGTGATTATACCTAGTTGATTCAACAAAATATGCATTTGTGTTGCGCGACTTAATTATATAAAAAATTCACATAAATATATATATAACAAAATGAGAATAACAGTAGATATGATAAAAGAGGCGGAACAGACAAGAAATCCTGTCAACGAAAATACAGTATTGTTAAGAGGTATACATATATATATATATATATATATATATGTACGTATGTATTTATCACCGTGTCTATATATATACATTAATTTACTCTTCTTTTTTCTTTTTTTTTTTTAAGGTTATAAAATAAGTGTCATTGAAAATTTAGGATTAACTAAAGATTACTTTGAATGCATTGATTTGAGTGATAATGAAATTATTAAGTTAAATAACATTCCATATTTGCAAAAATTAAAAACATTAATATTATGCAACAATAAAATAGCTAGAATAGACAATGATGTGTTTGAAAATATACCTAACTTAAATTCTTTAGTTTTAACAAATAATAAGGTAACAAGCAATTTTGAAATATTTACGAAATAAAAAATATATTATGCAACATATTATGAAACATAGTATGTATTACCAAAAAAAAAAAAAAAAAAAAAAAAAAAAAAAAAAAAAAAAAAAAAAAAAAAAAAAAAAAAAAAAAAAAAAAAAAAAAAAAAAAAAAAAAAAAAAAAATTCAAGTTATAATTGCTTTAATAAATTTTATAATTATATTATAAAAAGATGTATATGTTACATGTTTTATAGTTAGAAAAATTAACTGATCTTAACTCTTTGTTCAAAGCGAAAAACTTAACAAGACTTAGTTTATTGGAAAATGCTGTATCGAAGTAAGTTTAAACAAACATATACGAATATATATACACATAAATATTTTCATTTTGCGCATACTTTAAAACGTTTCAGCCTTACATGTTAATATTAATATATATATATATATATATTTACATGTGTTTGCAAATAATACTGGCATTTATTTTGCCATTTGTAGACTGGAAAATTACCGAGAATACCTAATTTATAATATACCATCTTTGAGGTATTTGGACTTTAAAAAAATTAAAAGAAAAGATAGAGAAGCTGCAACGGAAGTAATGAAATTTTTTGATGTACATA